TGAAAATAACTCACTCCTAGTTTTTACAGTGTTTCAGAATAAATAATCTGAAGGAGCCTGTCCAAGCATGCAGCTTTTTGCACACATGCTTGCAAAGGAGAAGACAGTGTTCACTGCAGAGAATGTTCCTACATTTTCCACCTGCCCTACTCCTGGTAATGACTTATCCTGGTTTCTTTTCAAGGCCTGCAGCTGAGCAAACCACATTACCTCCCAAGGGACAGGTGTCTGCTTACCACTTGGAGCAGGACAAGAGAAAGTGGCCCGTAGCTGGTCTCAGGTGGACACTACCATTATGTTACACAAAGGCTGGGAGAAACCCAGAGCTTTTAAGCTTCTGTGTTTCGCCGTATCTGCGATCAACACACATGCTCCCCTTACCATCAACTCTCCCAAGCGTCCTATGTAAATGCAGAGGAAACTGGCCTTCACGGGAGCCTGGAGGCACCAGGAGGATCGGCTCATCCTCTTCCTCCTCTTCCCGTTCATCACTGCTCTTAACCATTTATTAAGCACTTACTGCGTGTCCAGCACTCTGCTAAGGTTGTGTGCACGTTCATGCCTCACAACAATCTTATGAGATAAACGAGATAAAATTCTTGAACTCCTTTCTCAGATGATGAAGCAGGCTGTGAGGTTATTTAATTGCCTCAAGGTCACGCAATGAGGAGCAAAGTCTGGATTAAAACACGGATCTATTCAGCTTCTGAGGATGCGCTCTTAACTGCAAAGCTACACGGCTTGCCTTCAAGGATTTACAATAAGGCATAGGATCAAGGAACAATGGACCAGATGTGTGGATCTAAGATAAGCCTCTATTTACATAAAGTGATAGGGCTGAGATTTAGAGGTTCTTAATCTGGGGTCCACAGACCTCTGAGTGTCTAAAAATAGATTGCAGAGGCCTGTAACCCTCTAGAACAGGAGTCAGCAATTTTTTTCTTAAAGGACCAGATAGTAACTATTTTAGGCTTTGCAGTCCCTATGGTCTCTGTCGCAATCACTCATCTCTACTGTTGTAATGCAAAAACAGCCACAGACAATACAAAGGAATGGGCAAGGCTGTGTGCAATAAAACTTTATTTACAAAAATAGGCAGCTAGCAAGCAGGCTCTAAAATGGTGTGTGAATTCTATGTGTCTATGTGCATTTTCATTGTTATTAGGTGAAGATTCATAGTTTTCTATAGTTTCTCATGAAGATTCAAAATCCAAGATGGCTGAGAACTGGTCTAAATGGTCTCCAAGCCTGTCCAAACCCAGACATTCCCAGATTCTATGATTCTACATGTGTTTTAAATTAACACTCTCTTAAAGACTCTCTCTCACTAGCAGGCTCATCTAAGGCAGATGAGCCTCTTAAGTGGATTATAATCACCATCCGTGGAGAAGGAAACAAAGAACATATCCCATTTCCACCTTCCCTGGCTTACCTGTCCAGATGGTCCTGGCGGGAACACAAACACATTCCCTACTGGAATACAGCAGCTCAGTCCTGCCCCAGGCTCGTGTGAGCTTTGCTGAAGCTGCTTCTTCTATGTTCCACTGAGCCTTCTCCACTGAAAGCACTCAGTTGTCTTAACCACAGCGATGCGCAGTTTGGACTCGTGGAGTCAGCCAGGTCAGCCCAGGTATGGTGCGGAGGGCGGGACGTTGTTGGATGCGTTTGACTGACACATCTCCGCATCTGTTCAGGGACCCCCTCCCAAGAAAACCTAGTTCTTTCTCTTTGGATTCCCCAGCTTCTTGAGTTAGAGCATCTTATCTACTGCCTGCAATGACACCAAGGTGGACCTTTACCCCACCTCCCACTCCATGGGACTTGTCTGCCCCTAACTGGACTCTTTGGGTGGACACCACTGATGATGGTCTCTTGTGCCCACTGCAGAGCCTGGTACCATGCATGCTTTGTGTGTATTTTTTAGGTTATTAGTGCCAAGATCCCCGAAAGCTTAGTCAGTTTTAAATTCTCGCATTATTTCTGAAAATCAAAATAATGATTGTCCAGTCACCTCGAAGAAAAAGCCAGATTGACTGCTTTAAATTTTAGGGTGGGGAAAAAGCGATATATTAAAACAAGGAATCACAAATACTATGAATCACGTGATTGCACTTCGATTCCAGGTTTCTGAGAATGGAGGATTGGGCCTGGAGGAAGAAACAGGAGAAAAAGCAGAAGGGGAGAAAGGCAGGACAGAGGTCAGGAGAAGGACACAGGGAACGACGAGCCCGACAGGTTCCAGAGGGAAGGACAGGTGCGCAGGGGTCTGCATGCTTAGCCAACCGTGCCTGCGCTGAAACTCAGCATCACCAAGATGCAGCTATTTGTCAGAGCCAGCGACCCCCGAGGAAGGAAATAAGCCAGCAAATGAAAATCACGGGAAGATCCATCATTCAGCCAGGACTTATGGAGACTTTATTCCGTATCAGACGCCTGTATATATCACATCAGCGTTAGTGTTAGCTCTCTGAAATGAAGCCTCATGAGAGAGCCACATACATAGTGAGGACCGTACCTCCAACTAGTATTTTGGTTCAGCTTTGGTGACCATGTTCATCCAGCAGCAGTGTGGTGCCTTGTAAATAGAAAAGGGTTATAGACGTGTGGGCTCCTCTTCTGGCATATCGTTATGTATATTATATATAAAGTATATACTCGTACATACATATATATATATGTACTTGGATGAATATATACTTTATATACAATATATATGTATGTACTTGGATGAGTGTGTATGTGTGTGTGTATGTATACACATATATATGTACTCGGATGAGTATAAAATACCATTGTAAATGTAAAATTGACCTTGTTCTTTTTACTTAACAAGGTAGTGGGTAGGCGGGGGGTGGGGATGATGGCATTTTGCACAGAAGGCTTGGTGACTCAAGGAAGTGTCCTTTTTCCCCCCTCGGTAATATCTGGTCTGGGATTATTACTGCTTTCTCGATGTTTTTAGACATACTTCTCCCCTTCAGAAATGCCAAAGGTGAAAAATACTATTCCACTGCTATAATTTGTCAACCTTGCTTTCTGAGCAAGAAAGATCTGCATAGACGGTTTAGTAATTAAGCTTTTCAACACTGCATCATAAAGTTTTATTCTGGCGAAGGCTATATTTATCAGCTAACAAGTATTAAATCACCCCACCACTCCAGCTGTTTCTCACTTAAATACGCTCCTTTCAAAACAGAGCAGCTTTCCTTGGCTGGCTTGATTTAATAAAAGTTCTTGTTTGCAAATACCACAGTGCTGTGTGGTCCTGCGGGCTGACATACATCCACCTTTGCAAGTGCTCCAGATGCTTGCCGGCCCCTACTTCCAGGAGCATTGGATGCCCTCGCCCTGGGTCTTTCAGGGCATCCTGGCCATCTGAGTTTCGTGGCCCTCTAGGCTGGCCTCCAGCACAAGATATTTTTCTTCCTGGTTCAATTTCTGAAGGGAAAGAGGTGAATGAAAATAAACAACACAAGCGGTGGATACATTTTATTTCCTCATTTGAGTGGCAGGCAATTGGCCTCTTCCTCGCAGAGATGGATCTACGTGTAAAATGAGTTTTCAAAACGACTCAAATGGCGAAGTAATGATGATCTACATACTAAGCAGGCTTGAGCTTTTTCCCGTACGTGCCATAGATTTTTCAAAACAGATGCGGAATTATTAGGGAATTAGAAGGAGTAGATATTAAAAGTCATCAGTAATGACTTAGATGAATCTTTTCTCTAAGTAACTCACCCTGCCTTCATAAGTCCTATTTTGCTCTTTTCTCTGGAGGATGCGCGTTCATGAGACAAATATAACAATTGTTCTTAAGGTTTCAGGAGGTTATTAATCCAATGGCTCCAGAATGGCATCAGTTAAACACAAGATAGTTAACACATTTGAATGTCTTTTCAGCCATGCTTCCAGGGTAAAACCCAGAGAAAAACAAATGTTAATTAAATATGGGCCAAAATGATGAAAGAAATCTCAATATCGGTCATCTCATCAAACCAGAAATCACATGCAGTTCCCCCTTCCTTTAGTGACAGGTAGCTGGTTTAGAAGGCAGGGATCAATTTCTGTCCAGCCAGCAAGTGACGGGAAGCAGGTGGGTCACTGAAGCATGTGGGTGATATGCTGAACCTCTAAGTTGGCAAATATTGAACTATTTTAAGTGCATCTATTTTCCAGTTCAGTAAATTTTCTTGTTGTATTAAATTCATTAAACTCGACACACTCTAAATGCCACACAGGTCATCCCAGGGACCACATGAAGTTAATGGCACCAGCCATCCGGTAGAGCAAGAGGTAAAAATCAATATATTGTCTCTCAGCTTCTATTTAATTTTTACCTTTCATGTTAGGACTGAATTCTTTTTTAAGGTTAAAAACTATGATATGACTTGGAGAGTCAAGTTGCATCTGGTTATTAAGTGAAAATTTGAAGAGCGGTTTCTTTGTCATTCAATTGCCCTCCAAACGATATTCCTAGAAACAATGACATCTATGACCTACTATTCAGGATGGTTTAATAACTAGAGAGAGACAGAAATTATGCTCTGTTAGCCACAGTTTGGGGGAATCCTGTAGTTCAGCAATTGGCAAAAACACTGAATCAAGGAGATTAAAAATGAGGATTGGATAATAATTATTCTTTATTTGGAATGGAAATTTTCAAAAGAATAAGGATTTTGGAACATGAACTGTTACTCTGATTGGACATGCTTTTTTGGGAGGGCCATTTGTTATTTTTAAGCACTGTTTTCCTCTAACGAGGAGTAGTCATGACAATTCAGAAACACCACGAAAGGTGCATCGTACAGGGAATTTTCATTCTAGCATGGGTTGTAACTGTCAAAATCATAAAATCAATTTTATACTCCATTTGAAAAATTTTCCAGTAATTTCTCTCAACAAAATAGAGAGCAAAATAATCGATAACAGAAACTTGTGAAAACAAAAACCCCAAGCTCACACAGAGGACAAAGGTACAAGTGCTAAACATGGTTCTTTAAAGCTTCTAGAACACACCGGGCAGAAGTGATGCAGCCATCGAAGTTGGACTGGGTGAACGCATCCCCTCCACACACAAGGAAAGGTTTGAGATGAAGAGTCAACTGGCCATAGGAGTTGATGGCAGCATTTGTAACCTGAAAAGGTTAAAAACAACAATAACTACAACACAAAAGGATTGTGGTTGACATTCTCTGTCCTCTTGTGCTGTGATGTCAGCACCCACCTGAAGAAATCGCCATGTCTCACAAAACCGAGACCCCTAAGCCCCTCTCCTCACCCAAGTAGTCATGCTGACCTTCTCAAATGTTGACATTTTCAGTTAGTTGACACACTTATCAGAACTTGAAAATTAGTGGGTCATGATAGGCTCAATTAGCTGGAAGTACAGTGTGGTTTTTTTTGTATAAGGGGGAAATGATATTCATGAAATTATTTACCAATAATGGAGTCCCTGTGACGTGCTAGACAAGGGAAACAGAAAAGAGAGAAGGAATGTGTCCTTAAGGATTTTCCAGTTCAGCACAGAGTGCGGGCATATGACAGCATCTAAGGGCTAAGACAGGGTGAGTAAGAGGGCACTATGGGAACACCTGGGGGTACCCAACCCAGCACACCCAGATAGAAAAGCCTTCAAAGGGGAGGGGACGGGTCATATCACTTGAGTTCTGATGGACACGTAGGAGTTTAAGAAACAGGGATAAGGCTTTCCAAAGAGAATGAGCAGCAAGCATAAAGGCCCCATAGTCCCTGAGCAAGAGAGAACAAAGTGTGTTTTGGAAAGGGGCTAATCAGAAGAAGGGACATGGCTGAGAGGCAAGATAAGAGGCACTTAGTGTTTTGGAATTAAAATGTATAATACTTCTAAACAAAAGTCTATTAAAAATGTAGAATTTACTACTTATGAGGGGCACCTGGGTAGCTCAGTCAGTTGGGTGCCTGATTCTTGGTTTTGGCTCAGGTCAGGGTCATGAGATCAAGCCCCATGTAGGGCTCCACGCTCAGCAGGGAGTCTGCTTGAGATTCTCTCTCTGCCCCTGCCCCGACTTGCACGCTCTCTCTCTCTAAAATAAATAAATAAATAAATCTTAAAAAAAAAATAAAAGAATTTATTACTTATGAGCCAAAGGGGAGAGAATTAGCTAAAGTCTGGGATTTATTTTATTTTATAGAACGAGGTTTTAACATTTGAAATGCTGAAAAGGCATAGAGGTTATTTCCTGAGAAAAATATTCTGAAAATTGGGAAGGATGTTACTAATAAGCATTCACAGCCAGAAGAATGAGCGGGTGACAGGGGTGTGTGAACACAGTCATCTTGGACATGAGACAGTTTGGCTCCTGGAGAACCAAAACCCCCTAAAAAACAAATCACAAACTTATTATAAAGGCAATCTTGGGGTGCCCAGCTGACTCAGTCGATAGAGCATGCGACTCTTGATCTTGGGGTTGTGAGTTCGAGCCCCATGTTGGGGGTAGAGTTTACTTAAAAAATAAATCAATAAAATCTCCTCCTTTATAAAAAAAAAAAGTCAATCTCACTTGGGGTTGCTTCCCTGCACAACTTCAGGGCATGACATTCACACAGACTACAACAGGGCAGTTCTGGTCTCTTATACGTGTTCATGGAAAGTAATAGGCTAAGGCCCATGAGGAGTTGTTTATTTAAAAATTACCAAAAAAAAATCAAGAAATGTATCAAATGCTATTTGGATTATGGGGTTGAGATTTGGTTCTAGGTAAGCTGAGTTAGTACATGCTTGGACGATTTTTTAAAACCAGAAAAAGTTGGCATAGATTTTTTTATAAGCCATATTTAGCTTTAATAAGGAGGTTAGTTACAATTATTTCTTTGTTGAATCACTAAAGATAGGGACGTTTAAAGTCCTGTGTTGCTCAGATACGAATGTAAAATTTTAAGAGCATCCTCTCATTTTCCTGGAGGTCACTTGATAGGAGCAGCATCTTTCATACACACTGCAGATAATCTTCTTTAAAAGTTATGCCACAGGGGGTGTCTGGGTGGCTCAGTCGGTGAAGTGTCCAACTCTTGACCTCAGCTCAGGTCTTGATCCCTGGGTCTTGAGTTCAAGCCCCTCATGAGGCTCCTCACCCAGCGTGGAGCCTACTTAAAAATTATACCATAGTTTTATTATGTTCAATTGCAATTTGATTTTTCCCAGCTTTATTGGAGTATAATTGACAAAAATTGTATATATTTAAGGAGTACAACTTGATGTTTTGATACACATATGTATACATTGTAAAATCATCATCATAATCAAGCTAACTAATATATCATCAGCTCAGTTATCATTTTTCCTTCCTTTCCTCTACTCTCCTCTCTTCTCCTCTCCCTTTCCCTTTCTCTTTCCCTTCCTTTCCTCCCTCCCTCCTTTCTTTCTGGTGAATCACTTTATGATCTATCGTCTTAGGAGATTTCAAGTCCACAGTACAGTACTGGTAACTAAGTCATGTTGCTGCACATTAGATCCCCGGAACAGACTTACCCTGTGTCACTGAAACTTCGTACCTTGGACCAACATCTCATTCCCCCCTCCCACCAGCTCCAAGTCTTCACCATTCTACTCTCTGCTTCTATGAGTCTGACTAGTTTAGATTCTGCATAGAAGTGAGCTCATGCAGCATTTGTCTTTCCATAGCTAATAATCTTGAAATCGGCTCACAAGATCTTTGAGTGGGTATAACAGACAACACAGAGTGTGGACACTGAAGCACAGACTTGGGTGTTCAGTCAGAGCCTTTAAATTCCTACTTTATTTTATTTTAATTTTTTAAAGATTTTACTTATTTATTTATTTGAGAGAGTGCTTGTGCAAGCAAGGGGAGGAACAGAGGGGTAGGGAGAAGGACAAGCAGGCTCCACACTCAGTGTGGAGCCCAATGCAGGGCTCGATCTCATAACCCTGAGATCATTACCTGAACTGAAATCAAGAGTTGGACGCTTAAACAACTGAGCCACCCAGGCGCCCCTAAATTCCTACTTCAGATAGAATTTAAACAGGTTGGATTATTTGATTTGCCAGTGAAACACTAAGGGAAAACTGTTAGGTTCTCATACATATTAATGATTTCAGAGTGTGATAGCTGGTAGTCTGAAAACAAGGGATGTTATATAAACATTTAAAAACCAGACAAGACTGGGCAGAAGCTTGGCAGTCTGGAACCATTGAGTAGAGGGGCAAATCATTTTCTGACTTTTAATAGGCCATGAGGGTGCCAGCTATGTTTTCCCACAGTCATCAATGCTCCTAATAATGGCCCCAATATTCAAGAACCAGTTCTAATATGCATAAAGTATTACTTGTTAGCATTTCTTGAATGTTTGCTGCATACACATGCTTTAACATGTGCACCCATTTAATGAACACAGCCACCCTGTGAGGCGATTACTGCTATTCTCATTTTATAGAGGAGAACACTGAGACTCAGAAAGATTGTCACCTGCCCAAGGACAGAGAGCTAGGAGGTGAAGAAACAGAGATCCGAACAGAGCACGCGGACTCCAGAACTCACCCTTCTGACACTTTCAGAAATATTTCCATGAAGACTTTATTTATTTATTTATTTATTTATTTATTTATTTATTTATTTATTTATTTATTTATTTAAGATTTCATCCATTTATTTGACAGAGAGAGACACAGCAAGAGAGGGAACACAAGCAGGGGGAGCAGGAGAGGGAGCAGCAGGCTTCCCGTTGAGCAGGGAGTCCGATGTGGGGCTCGATCCCAGGACCTGAGATCACGACCTGAACCGAAGGCAGATGCTTAACGACTGAGCCACCCAGGCACCCCTGAAGACTTAATTTAAACAAAACAAACAAAAATGTTTGATGGTCACTGGTAGTTTTATGCATCTGAAAATTCATATAAACAGAGTAACTCATTCATATACATATATACGAATGCACATATGTATAATACAAAATAATGCATGTCCATATATATGTATTATTTTTAAAACAAAACAAAAACTTTGATGGTCTCTTAGCTTAACGCATCTAGAAAATCACATAAATGGGATAGCTCATTCATATGTACTCATATATACATACGTGTACGTCTATATATAATTTACACACCTGCACACACCAATCTCCATGTGCGGTAAAGTTCTGACACATTTCAGCTGACATCCCGGTACAGATAAAGCATCACTACTGCACATTAACAGGTATTAAGCAGGAGGGAGCTGGTGGGAGAACGTTCTGCCCAGGGTGAGCTGGCAGTTTGTCGGTGCCGTGTCATTCCGTTTGATGACTGGTACGGGCCAGATGCGAGGTCACGTGGCTGGAAGACTGGGCTGCTGATTGGCCAAGTCTGCAGTTTGGGGAGGAAATCAATCTCACGGCGTTTAGGTGACTCACCTTGAAGCGTGCTTCAAACACGCTCTTCTTTGTCGTGTTTCTGTGACTTTGAACCAGCCGTCCTGCGGGGTGATGGTGTACCATTCCCCCCTCTTCGCTGCCCTTCTAGAAGCAGCACAAACGTCACCTGCACTGAGGTCTTCGTGCTCTGCCGGGCAGGGCAAGAGCCTTTACAGCGAGTCATTTTATCTGTGATGTTACTTGCTGTTTTGCACTGTAATTACGTCCAGATTTGTCTCCCTTCCTAGACTGCATGCCTCGAAGAGCAGGTGCTGGGCCGCACCAGTCCTTGTATCCAAGGCTGGGGATGGTGCCTAGCCTCTATTACGTGTGCAATGAACGTTTATTGAGTTAAAAAAAAAAAAAAAGACAATATTGTACACGCAATTGATCAAATGAAGGTCTTCAAAGGGAACCATCTACACAAAAAGTGTTATTCAGAGGCACCCACTGAGCTGGCAGAAGCTCAAATGGAAGAGATACTGTATTTAGGACGCTCTCAATAGTGACAAATTCAGGGCTGTCCTCTCGTCATGTGAACTGTTTCATGTGAACATCTCATGTGTCATATATGAAGCAGAACCACACAAAGCTGCTGACTCTGCAGGCCACAGATGTGAAATATTGTCCATCTTCACATGGCTTAACCTAATGGGTTCTTTGTGTCGTGATTATTAGCTGTAAACATACACACAAGGAGTCCCTCTGGTGTGAATGAAATTGAAGATGACAAGAGAGAGGAGCAGACCAGAAGGCTAACAGCGACTTCAAAATGGGGATTGTCAACAACATGAAGGTGCTAATTAGCAAAAAATAATCCAGCGATACACTTGGTGACATGCATTCTTCCTTCCGCACCTCAGCTGACGGCGGAAGCTCAGGCATCTACCCAAACACAACAATCTTGCTGTGTGGCCTCAAGCACGGCCATATTTTAGGTTGATCCATTCTAGTTAGCTGTCCAGCCCATGATTTGGTTCCTTAAAACCAACCTTTCCGAAATGTGGCACTAAGGGACATCCATGTGGGCACAGCAAGATGAGGTCTCACCGGTTCTAATCCTAGATGCTCAACCAACCTGATAAGAAAATGTGACAACATTTCAACAATTAGCTTCTTGCTCCTGCATTTCCTCACTTGTCACAGATGTAAATTATACTGTACTTCACTGACTCTAAGGCACGGTCAACCGGAAGAAGCACCAGTATTTTATGCGCCAATGAGGAAGAAAAATGGTGGCAACGTGACACATAGCTTTATATTTACTAGAATAGTTCTCTTGTACTTATCTACAAGTAGTTCTTTTGCAAAACTAGAAAGGACATAAAAGAGGAATACTGGTTAAGCCGTTCCAAAAATGTCTTCGCATATAGAGCGTGACTTCCCCACTCTAACTCAGAGTTGTCCACATCCGTGCTCCTCCCCACATCACAGTCTGTCCTCTGTGCCTCCTAGAGCATTTCTTACATGAGTGCTCCACTGGATTGTACTTTCTGGCATTTTCTCGGAGCCACTGATACCCGTCTTGCAAGTTCTGGTCATGCACTTTCTCTGTGGCAGGGAAGAAAGGTTTCCAGACAGCGACCAGGACTCATACTCTTTTCTCAGATGGTCCTCACATAATTTGTTAATTAAAATATCAAGGGGTTACAGTGGCGGTCCCACTGTTAATCCACCCCAAATAGCCGTGTTCACGTGTGTGAAAACAACCTCCTGACTGAGTCCTGGTGTATCCCGACTCCGTGGTGTCTCACAAGCAATGAAATATGGCAAATATAAAATGGGGTAAGGGGATGGGGTGATGGGCATTAAGGAGGGCACTTGACAGAATGAGCACTGGGTATTGTATGCAACTGATGAATCACTAAATTCTACCCCTGAAGGAGAGAAGTATGGTGGGTACTTAATATGAGTAAATGCATAGCAAGTCCAAAGATAATGAGCAGCAGGATCCTTGAAGCAGGGCTTTTTCTGGTCACAGCATCTCTGGGTCCCTATGCGACTGTCTTCAGCATTGCCAGTTTAAACCCTCCACGTTCTCAGTTCATCCAAAGGAACAGCCTCAGGTGAAACCGACAGAGAATCAATCTGTTCCTTTCCAAAGGTAAACGTACGGATTCCAGGACCACGTGTGGTTGTCTTCCCAGCCCATTCATCTCCTCACCCCTGCGACTGGGGTGACCCCTGTGCCGCATCTCCGGACAGATGCCACTAATTGATTGTGGCATTCTTTCCCACGGAGCCCAGATGTGGCCGAAGCATCCTCCCCACCTGATGGCTTCAGGCAGATCAACTGGACTTGGCACTTGAGAGGAATCCTATAAAACCATCCTGGGTTCGAAGCCTGAAGAGCAACCACGTAATTACAAATAAACGAATTAAATATTTTTCACTGTTTTTTTTTTTTCTTCTTTTCTCATGAAGCCAGGAGAGTATGATGCATTGCTTTTGTCCAAACCAGACATGTTTCAGAGCCAAGAATTAGGAGCACATCAGGAGTGATTTCCTCTAGATGATGCCAGACACCCACTTCTCATTTCTTCTAATAACCACCCCCAGCCCTTAATTCCTAACGTCCCTCCATGCCTTTGTCCCTCCATGGGTCACAGTGGGGCTTTGACAGCCGTGTGAAAATAAGACAGGTACTTTGGCTCTGGCCACAATACTACAAAACTATCAGGGTTCATGGGAAAAGTAGGGTTGGAGCAGATAATTCGAAACCTATAGAACTCTGACCCGAGCACTAACACAAACAATACGCATCATAGTAGAGTGACCAGCATGATGGACGTTCTCCCAGCCTCTGCATCTAGTGACATCTCTGTGGCTTAGGCTTCCTCCTTCAAGATATAGGCCCTGGGGGGCAGTTGCTCCTAAAAGACCATTTTTTAAAAGATTTTATTTATTTATTTGAGAGAGACAGTGAGAGAGAGAGCACAAGCAGGGGGAGCAGCAGAGGGAGAGGGAGAAGCAGACTCCCCGCTGAGCAGGGAGCCCGATGTGGGGCTCGATCCTGGGACTCTGGGATCATGACCTGAGCTGAAGGCAGCCACCCAACCGACTGAGCCACCCAGGCATCCCTAAAAGACACCATTTTGATTTAAATTTAAAATATCCAGGATGTAGCCTTCTTCATCAATTCATATTTCACTGAGGGGGAAATGTCTTTGTGATTTCGTCATCAGCACCGACAGGTTTGCTGAAGAGCTTACCAAGGCGGAAAACCCAACGGTTGTTAAGGCCACCATGACAACCACGGTTTGTCCTAAAGAAAGGCACCTCTGGAGGTTTTCAGGTTTTTTCTTCAGACCTCCCTATTTGCTAAGGCTTCCTCTTTGCTTGTGAGGAAATTTACCCAGAGCGCTTGAAAACATAAACATGTCCGAGACCGATACTATTCCCCATGACACTGATTTTCTAGTTTGCAATTGCATTTGAAATAATTCACATTACAAACCAACCAACCCAGGTGCTATAAACGACTGAGTACTTTTATGGCTTTCTTACGTTGCCTTATGTTCCTGAGGGTCACGTCAATCGGACTTGCGTATGCCTGCGTCTTGGACAAACGGAGATGTCTGAGGCTTCCCTTGTGCTTTTGATAATCACACTGAATTTTTAAAATTGATTTCTAACAATTCCCGTGTCGGAGGGTGGCTCTTACCTCCGACTGTTCCCGGCATCCGGGGAAAGCTTACTGTCTCCTAGTTGCACACTACCTTGACGGGGGCAAGCTCTGAGTGACAGTCCCCTTCTGAGCTATGGGCCACACCGGCAATATGAATAGCTAGAAGGGCTGAGATGATATGGGGCTGATTCCTACATTTCTTCACTTCCTCTACTCTGCAGACAGTAAAAACCTGAACCCTCTACTCTGCAGACAGTAAAAACCTGAATCCATGCCACGGTACATAAACAGCAGAAATTGAATACTTGGTTAACTTATTCTTTTATGACCTCAATGCAAAGCTCAAAGATAGTGGTTCCCAAAAGTCAATCTATTGCAAGAAGAGAAAAAATAAGGAGAATTATGAGCTTTTTCACAGAGCGAAATGTATTCTATTTATAAATTGGTTATGAGGTTCTATCTTTGCTATTTTTTTTTTTTTGGTTATTCCTTCCATTAAATTCTTGTGGCCGTGTTTTTACTTTTTAAATTCTTAATTGCAGAATGCAAAGATAGCAATATTATACTGGTTCCCAAAACATTTAGAGGGATTTTACTGGTCCATGAAATAAAAATGCTTGGAACCATTACTACGCAGTGAGGTGCTTGATGTGGCTCAGAGCACAGAGATGTTCAGCCTGAGGAATGTTTTCCATAAAGGGGGTGGGGGTGCTGGGAAGCAGAGGTCAGCTTGCAGAAACCACCAGTAATCTCAGGTAACACTGCATAACCTTCGTTTGGACTTGGTGAGTAGGTAAGTAATTTTTAAAAATGGAATAAAATCTTGTGTACGACTCATTTCCCAGAAACTTGTGCAATCTCTCTTCTATCCAAATATTCATCTAGCTAGAACTAGAATCTGGGGTAACACATCCTTCATCTGTTCACCTGCAGCTAAATACTCAGGTAGTAAACTTAAGGCTGTAGAGAAAAATCGGGGTTAGGGGAAAAGGCTTCATCAAATGCAGAATGAATGCCTACCTTCAAACTGCATGAGGCTAGGGAGAAAATGTGGTCTGTGTTGATTCTATGTATACATTTCCCCATTCCTACCACGTTCCCAAGGCACTGGTTTGAGGCATCTATCATATTCCTGTTTACAAAAACAGGGAGAAATGTAAACAAAAGGACGAGAGACCAGGGCTTGTGCTCATGTTAGTGGAAATGTCTGTTTACATCTTTATAGATGGGGATCCAGCCCAGGCGGTCTGAAAGGATGAGACTTCATTGATGGGTCAGTGAAAAATAATATTAACCCCTCAGCATTTTTTTCTTCAGGAAAAAAAAAATGTGTGCTATTGGCTAAATTAAAAATGTAGTGTTTCTATCCCTTTCTTTTATTTAAAAAAAAAAGAATCCCTTTGGGGACTAATGAAAATGCCGTAAAAGGTTGCTGATTCCGCTACACTTAACTCACCAAATTGCAATCTGGTAAGAAATATTTGTTATTTAAAAGCTTTGCAAGTCCTCAGAAACAGGGAGCTACAGGGGTTGTTTTGTTTTGTTGACGGTTATTTTTTTTTTCATTTTCGTATTCCCTGCATCTCCTCCTCCATTGTATGTGGCTGGTGTTGAATAAATGTTTGCTCAAAGGATGTGTGCACATGGGCCCACCAAAAACTAATTCAAACTTTTGAAAGTTTTAAATTCTCTGTATTCGAATGGTCTTTAAACGTGGAGGAACTTTTTCTTCTCTCTATGATAATAATTTTCTTTATTGTTGTTTCAGTCTCTGAAATTTCCTTTACCTTCGGAATTACCGTGTTACTTCCTTCCTTCTGTGTCATCGCCCTCGACACCTGCCCATTCTAACTCAGCTCTTCCTCACTTGCACCGTCCAGGAGACCACTCTTCTTCGGGTACCTATGCTCCTTTCTCTGACCCCCAGAAAGCAGGATTCGCGGCCTCAGGCTCACCTTTTGTAGATCCCAGGCAAAGGCACCGGGGGTATCTGACTCAACCTGAATTTCAAAACAGCAAGTGAAGACAGTTTCCTACCCAGACAATTCCACCTCACCTCATAAAATGGTACCGTGAAGAACACCCTGGAAAGTGTGTAAGATCGAACTAGACGAGTGTGTATGTGTGAACATGAGTGTGTGTGCGGGGGCGTGATAGGACATACAGATGTTTGTCTTTATTTTTAAAACTGGAGACCCGAGTGACCCAGTCCGCGATGTTTCTAGTTCACGTCAAAGCGGCAGTGAGCCTGCACAGACATGAAGTCTAAATATTCCTTTAAATAACTTTCTTTCCTGGGACGAGGGGAATGCATTCTAGAAAGCTCTAGGTGTCAGGGAGGAAAGAAACCAATTCTTCTGGGTGACCTAGCCAACTTATGTCTTTATCTTTTAAAAGTTCTCTCTTAGAACAGTCAACTCTCTGTGCTCAGAGGTTTGTGGTACAGCCCG